CCCCAAATCATAGTGTCTTGGAACTCTCCTGGTGGTCCAGTGGTTAAGAATCTGCCTTCTAGTGCAGGAGATGCAGGTTTGATCTCTTGACCAGGAACTAAGCCTGCACAGCACAGCGAAGACCCAGTGCAGCCAAAATCAAACCAGTAAAAACATGTCTTAAAATATATTTATTATTTCACAATTTCTATGGGTCAGGGATCTGAGCACAGTTTAGTTGGTGCCACCTGGGTCAGATGTCTTAAAGGCTTTATCAAGGTGTTGGCCAAGGTTGCAGTCATCTCAAGGTTTGACTGGAGGAAGATCTCTTTCCGTGTTCACCTGCTGTCAGCAGCCTTCATAGCCATAATGTGTGGGACTCACCATGTGGCTCACAATATAACGCAACTCACAGCACAGCAACTCACTTCTCCCAGAGCAAAGGCTCCAAGAGAGTGAGAGAATGTGTCCAAGATAGAAGCCCTGGTATTTTTGAGATCTAATCTCAGAAGGGACATGCCACTGTATCCGCCATGTTCTTTTCATTAGAAGTGGACAGATAGGTCTAATCTGCACTCGAGAGGAGGGGACTATGCAAGAGTGAGAATGCCAGGAGGTGAAGATTTAGGGGCCATGTCAGATCACACATTCTAATATGAGGTCATCTTCAGTGGAGCTTTATTTGTGAGCATCCTCATCAGCTTGGCTTAAGAGTGGATCCCCCAGATTTTTAGATTGCTCTGTTAGACTGTTCTTGGTCTGGGACCATTTTATGTTAATTTTTAATCTGGGGAGGGATCTGACCCGTGTAGATACAAAATCCTGTGTCTGTGTGAAAACTACTTTGTGAGTATAAATCCTTAGGAAATTTATCTTCTTTCCCCTCTTCTCAGTGCCTAGACTGCTGACTAGCTCCTTTGTCATCAGTGTATGCTGATAATTGATTTTTTTTTCTAGTTTATCATTTTATCAAAGCTTTCTCCTTTTCTACTTGTATGCAGGGTCCCATTTCCAGTTCCATGCCTCATGTGGGCCCAGAGCCTTACTCCTACACCCAAGTGGGTGTTAAAATCTAAGTCCTTTAGTTACTGAGACCAGCTCCCCGTACCCCCACCTCCCACCTCCACTGGGCTGTTTGCAGCATTGGCTCACACAGCTAATATTCTGATTTTCCAATCTCCTCTTTGTTTTTGTCCCCTGGGGACTTATCTTGCTTTCTTGTGAGCTCAGCTATGCATATAAAACGTTTGTTATATTTTATCCAGTGTTTTAGAATGTTTTAAAATGAGAGGGTTTTCCAAAGTTATCTAAGCCAAATGCTATATGTAAAGAATACAGGATGTTGCCTCGCCCCCAACTGGACCCACCAGCACCAGTACAGACAATTTTCAATTAGACCCAAACAAAGTATTTCCTTTTAAATATCCTGCAGCCTTGGAAATACTGATTCTGAGTCTGGATTGCAGAAAGGCTAAGGTTCTCATTACCCAAGAGGATTTTTTGATTTTGACTCACCTGAAAGTGTGTGTCAGGGGGAGCAGGATGGAAGGCTGTTTAGGGAAAATAGGAGAATTCACAGCATAATGTTACAATTTCATACTTATAGTACAGCAAAGATCAGCTCAGATGCAATATTCCTCTGAGAGTCTATAAAAGTCTGCATTTCTCTTGGGTCCTGGTCCCTTGTTAGAACTCTAGAAGTTCCTCTTGGCTAGTAGAGATGGAAGATGTGTGGCCCTGGGGAGTTTGTCACCCCCCTTCTGTCTGCCTTAGATAGAGTTGGTCATGGAACTGACATATGGTTGGGATTTCAAGAGCTTGAGAACCTTTGGGAAGGAGGGGCCTCTGAGAAGTATTGTCACTGTGATTTAAGAACCTCTTGCTACTAATAATAGTAGCAATGTAAATTTATTTATTTTTATCATATACATAAGTATTTTAAAATTTTGGAGAAGGAAATGGCAACCCACTCCAGTACTCTTGCCTGAAAAATTTCATGGACAGAGGAGGCTGGGGAGCTATAATCCATGGGGTTGCAAAGAGTTGGACATGACTGAGCAACTTCAGTTTGTTTCTTTCTGTTTTAAAGTTTATTTATTTTATTATTTATTTTTGACTGCACTGGGTCTTTGCTGCTGGTGCGGGCTTTCTCTAGTTGCAGTGCATGGGCTTTTCATTGTGGTAGTTTCTCTTGTTGCAGAGCACAGGTTCTAGATGCATGGGCTCAGTGGGTGCGGCTAGTGGCCTTAGTTGCCCCATGGCATGTGGAATCTTCCAGGACCAGGGATTGAACCCGTGTCTCCTGCATTGGCAGGTGGATTTTTAATCACTGGACCACCAGGGAAGTCTGCTAGTGTTTATTAAGCATCTGCTATATGCCAGATATCATGCCTAGTGCTTTACATACAGAAGAGGGCTAGAGATACAGAGATAAGCCACAGAGTGAAATTCCTTCCATCCTTGATGTTCAGACTTGAGACCAAAATGCTCTCTGCTGGGGTTGGGTCAGCTTTCTTGTGCTTCAGAGGGACCCCCTGGGTTGGACTGGTTCTGGTCGGGGAGTATTTTCAGCCTTGCCTAGCAATAGCAGGAGTTAGATTATCTCTTGAGCATTAGGAAATAGCCTGGCACAACTGGTACTTGGTACCCCAGAGGTGAAGAGATAAGGAGACTGAGAGGTAGGCTCACAAGGAGTTGTGATTTGTCCATTGGCTTCCCTTATACCTCAGATGGTAAAGAATCTGCCTGCAATGCAGGAGACCTGGGCTTGGTCACTGGGTCGGGAAGATCCCCTGGAGAAGGGAATGGCTACCCACTTCAGTATTCTTATCTGGAGAATTCCATGGGCAAAGGAGCCTGACAGGCTACAGTCCATGGGGTCACAAAGAGCTGGACACGAATGAGCGACTAACACTTCTTTTGTAATTTCTGTACACTTGTTATGAAGTTCATTTAGGAAAAAGCTGAAGACAGTCTTCCTTTTTAATTACTGGACCAATATTGGAATCACTGAACCTGAATCTCCAGAAAATTTGGCTCTGAACTTCAAAGCAGTCAAAACGAAGAGAGGCTTAAAGTTAGAGAACTCTGGGTTCAGATCCTTAGGGTGGTGCCCACGTTAATGTAAGTTTAACAAGGTCTCTAGGAAATTCTGATACTCAGTCAGCCTGGCAGGAGAGCCAGGAAACTGAGCACTTTGGTTTTCTGACTTACATACTGGGCATCTTTGGATAATTCATCTGCCCTCTCTGAGCCTTGGTTTGCCTGTAGGTAGAATAGGATGGAAATTCCTGCTCAGTTTGAGGTAGACTGTAGTGTTCTAATATCATATATACTTTGGAGGCCGAGTTGGGAAGTGTTGAGCTGCATTTTACACGTGGATCAAGCCACTCCTTCCTCTGTTGACTGCACATGAATAGGATGCCCTGACTCTTTCCTGGGAGGTGTCACAGGATGCAGCCATGGGATACTTGCTGTCATATTCATCCTCTGGTTGCTACTAAGGGCCTTGTCCATGGCTTGATCGAGTGGCCTCTACATAATCACCCATGGGGGATTTCTCTGGGACTCAGTGGCAAGACTAGAGTGGTTGTCATGAGCGGTGGCCTGTGTTTGCCAGGCAGGCCCTGAGGCCATCACATGGCACAGATGGAGGGCTTACCTGCACCAAGTGCCTCCCATGTTTTTCTTTGAGCCCCCTAAATAGCCCTACCAGTATGGTGCCGTTATCATTCCCATTTGACTGGTGATTAAACTGGGGCCCAAAACCTTTAAATAACTTTCTCAGGCCACACTGCCAGGAAGAAGCAGAGCCAGCATTTGAGTCCAGCTGAGTCTTAACAACATAGCCCTTGCAGACAACCCACAGCCTATACTCAAAGCGTTGACTGCTCTGAAACTCAGGGTCAAAGGTGCAACCTTCCTGTTCCCTGAGTGTTGAGTTTACCACTATCCCACCTTCTTCCATATCTTTATATTTTCTTTGTGCCAGTTTTCTCATTGAAAGCAGATGAAGCAACAGCCTCTGGTGTATTTAGTCTTAGTGCAGTGTTATGCAACATGGTTCCATGAACAAAATTCTCGTTTTGCTTTTTCTTAGTTGCTTAAATTCTTTTTAATACATCACAAAATGATTTTGCATCACAAACTATCAAAACCAAAAACAAGAATCTTGATCATCAATGACTGCACTTCCCTCAGAGGAGGAGGGCAGGGTAGGAACCTGCAGGCTGAACCAGGCTGAGTCCCTCCTTAGTTAGTGGGCAGAAGGGGGGGGAGGGCTTGAAACACTACAATGTTGATAATTTTTGCTCCATTATGTACTCATTAATCTCCTTCCTTCCACATGATTGTATCTCTATAGGTTGCTTTCGATCATTTTTGTAACGCAATAGGTCATAAATGGGCTTCCCTGGCGGCTCAGACAGTAAAGAACTGCCTGCAATGCAGGAGAACTGAGTTCAGCCCCTGCTTGGGGAAGATCCCCTGGAGAAGGAAATGGCAACCCACTCCAGTATTCTTGCCTGGACAATTCCATGGAGAGAGGACTCCGGTGGACTATAGTACACGAAGTCGCAAAAAGTCAGACACGACTGAGCTACTTTCACTTTTTCAGGTCATAAATAATGAAAGTTGTTCTTTCCTGCAGTACCCACCCCCCCATACCTGGCTGTCAGCTCCCTGGTCCTCTCCCCCAAGGGTCAGGTGAGAGAACCGTGAGGGGATGGGACCAGGTGGAGAGGAAGATGGGGCCGTCTGGGAGAGGTATAGCTGGGGAGAGGGAAGAGTATTTAGAGGAAAGATTAGACACCAAGGTTGATCCCAAAGCAGGCCCCGGGAACAGCACAGGGCAGATGTACCTCCATCTTTCTCTGCGTGGTCTGAGGGTTTCTTTTAGTCCAAATGCGTTAAGTCTCACACTGAGAGTCTCTGCAGAACTAGAGATGTTCCTAAGGCAAAGTGCCTCAGACACGCCCCCATTCCAGCATCAAGGTAACTGTCCTTCTGGTCCCTGCACCCAGCTCAGCGAGGAGCTGAACCAGCAGCTGGAGGCCGTGTGCGGGTCCGTGTTTGGGGAACTGGAGTCCCAGGCCGTGGACGCTCTGGATCTGCCCGGCTGTTTCCGCATGCGGAGCCACAGCTACCTCCGGGCCATCCAGGCTGGCTGCTCTCAAGACGACGACTGCCTGCCCCTCCTTGCTGCCCCTGCCTCTGTCTCAGGGAGGCCCGGCTCCTGTGAGTATGCCCTCTCTGCCCCTGGCCCAGCCCTAGGTTGGAGAGTGATCTGGGTTCCAGCTCCAGCCCTGGTCGCGGCCCTGCTGCTCGACTTTGGGCAGATCGCTTGCCTCTCTGGGCCGGGTGATGGGAATGATCCGTGGTTCTTTACGTAGCCGCACGTGGGGGGTTGGGCGTGGCTGCTGGGTCCCGTGCTACCGCGTGGGTGTGGGGGGTGGTCGGCCACAGACTCCTGCCGGCACGGCGTTTCTCACCCGCTGTGTCTCTGGGTTCCGGGGCCACAGCCTTCAACTTCAGAAAGGCCCCGCCCCCCATCCCGCCGGGAAGCCAGGCCCCGCCCCGCATCTCCATCACCGCCCAGAGCAGCACCGACTCCGCCCACGAGAGCTTCACCGCGGCAGAGGGCCCCGCCCGGCGCTGCAGCTCCGCTGACGGGCTGGACGGCCCGGCCATGGGGGCGCGCACCCTGGAGTTGGCGCCGGTGCCACCCCGGGCCAGCCCCAAGCCCCCCACACTCATCATCAAGACCATTCCTGGCAGGGAGGAGCTGCGGAGCCTGGCGCGGCAGCGGAAGTGGCGGCCGTCCATCGGGGTTCAGGTATGGCAGGAGGAGGCGCCAGCGAAAGCTTTGCTTTTTTTGGTTGCTTATATTTTTAACACCATGGATTCTGCATGGCCTTGGCCATGTTGAGGATGGGTTGAGAGGGTCAGTGGGGTCTTCTGGATACACAGATCTTTTCCTTGCTTGCTCTAAGCCTGATCATCGACGGGGCGTGGGGCAGGGTTGCTGCTTCAAACAGCCTTGCCCACATCGTTGTCCCTCATCCTGGCACCATCACCCATGGCAAGGGGAGAGCGGTGCTCAGAAGTTGTAACCTTAATGCATCTAACCTTCTGGGTCTGCCGTCCTGTTCAGGCAGATCATATTTGCAGGATCTGCCCCTTGGCTTCTGGGGAAGGGCTTGAGACAAGCCTTGGCCCAGCCCTGCCTACTGACTCCCCAACCCTGCCACCAGGTGGAGACTATCTCGGACTCAGACACGGAGAACAGGAGTCGAAGAGAGTTCCATTCCATCGGTGTTCAGGTGGAAGAAGACAAGAGGTAGGTCCCAGTGGGGATATCTCAGGCCTTGTGGGCAGTGGGGAGAAGAGGAGAGAGGGCTGCATAAGGACTTCACTGCCCTGGTCTCCCCGAAACTCTCTCCTCCTGGTCCTGGGGAACAAGCCCTTTTATTGGGGAGGCGTCAGAGCAGCCAAAGAGGTTCCTCACAGAGATGCCCGATCCCGCAGTCATCAGACCTAAAGTGAATTCTCTTAGTTCCAGTGCCTGTCCCAGGTGCTGAGCGGTGGACAGGAGGTATCCAGAGGTCCAGGAAAGTGGGTGGTAGGGAGCAGTAGCAGGTGGGTGCAGAGGAGGCCTCCAGCAGTTGTGCTTTACAGAGGATCACAGGATTTTTCCAGTCCCTGCTGACTTCCTGTGGTGTACAAGTATGTGAGCTCAAAAAGAAACAAATAAACATGAAGATTGCCTCTCAGGGACCCCTGGTAGATATAACACTCCTCCTCATTCGGCTCACACAAGCATTTAACCAGTCGGGGGTACCTATTATATGCCTGAGTCTGTGTTGTACCCAAGAAATCAACAGCTACTCTTCTGGCATTAGATGGCCTCAGAAAGATTGTTTTCTTAATTTCCAACTGAAAAATTAGCACTGAGAGCTCTGGAGGGAACACTGGGAGGAATTCCTCTGTTGTTGGGTTCCTGTGGAAGATGCTTTCTTTCCCTAATGACCAGGTAGCAGTGCCACGGTGGCCTATCTACCTTCTGGGCTGCCTTGCTCCCAGGCCAGTGGCTCTAAGTGTGGTGTCTGGGAACCTGCCTGGGGTTGACAGCAAGAGATTTACCGTAATCTGTGTGGCCCAGGTCATACCCCATGAAGGAATAAAACTAGAGTGCCCGTAGCAGTCCTTAGCAGCTCTGTTTCTGGTTACCATTGTTGGGCTTTTAGACCTTCCCTAAATTCCCCCAGCTATTTCTGGGAACCCCTGGGAGCATTGTGTGTGTGTGATCAAGACTTCTTGAGGTTCCTGTGGGGATTCACCATTTTCCTCCTCTTCATGTTAGCTCCCTGCAGCTCCATATGCTCCTAAGGCTGTGAACGTCTCTATCGAGGACAGCAAAAAGACACCCTTGTTGTCCCCATTATTCCTGAAAGCTACTGTCCTCCAAATTCTTTTTATTTATTTACCTTCACCGATCTTAGTTATAGCATGTAGGATCTAGTTCCTGACCAAGGATCGAACCCAGGCCCCCTGCATTGGGAGTGTGGAATCTTAGCCGCTGGACCATCAGGGAGGTCCCCTTCAAATTCTTAATATACCATAGAGATCTCAGAAAAGTTGTATGTTCTGGCAAACCGAATCCTGCAAGTCCATGATTTGAGTTCTTGAGAGGTGGGGTAGAAGTCATGGCTAGGTGCAGCACTGTGTGCAGAACCCTGCCGCCAGCTGTGATGCTGAACCATGGACCATAAACCAAGCCCATGTGGCCTCATTTGCTCCTTGATGAGGCTTCTTGGTCCCTCATCCAGATAGACCCCTAGAGGTCCCTCCTTGCTCAAAACAAACCTGAATCCTGGGAAGAGTTCAGCAGGCATGCTGCTGAGACTTGAGCTAAATCAGCAAGCCCTGTCATTCATTTCTGATTGATTCATTTAGAAAATACTTGTTAAGCATCTGTTATATGACAGCTTCTGTTAAATGCTCCGGGAAGCATGAAAGACATGACTTCTGCCCTCATAGGAGTTATGGCCTAGAAGGGAATCAAGGCAATGAGTAAACAACCCACGAGTGGGATTTCCTTGGAGGTCCAGTGGTTAAAACTGTGCTTCCAATGCAGGGGGCATGGGTTTGATCCCTGTCAGGGAACTAAGATCCTACAGGCTGTGTGGTTCAGCCAATAAATAAATACATTAAATAAAATTAATAAAGAAAATAATACATGAGTAAAAATGTTATTACATACTATGGTGTAACAGGTAATGGGATATTATTACACATTACAGTGGTCATATGAAAGAAAAAAGCAGGCGCTAAGAGAGAAGGGACTTTACTCAGATTAAGCAGGTGACATTTAAGCTGAGACTTGAGGGCTGACTGGGAATACTCAGGTGATAGCGGGCAGGAGGCTGGTGAACATGCGGGAAGCATCCCAGGAAGAGGGAGTAGCACTGTGTGGAAGCGCTGGGACAGGAAAGAGTGACAAGCTTCAGGAACTGAAAGAAGGTTCGTATGGCTGGTGAGGAACAGGATGGGGTGGTTGTGGGGGAGTGGATTGGAGAATAGGTGGAGCCAGGTCATACAGAGCATGGGCATGATAAAGAACTGGAATTTAATTCTTTTTTAAAAAACCTTTTTATTTTATATTGGAGTATAGTAGCTCAGACGGTAAAGAATCCACCTGCGACACAGGAGACCCAGGTCTGATCCCTAGGTCGGGAAGAGTCCCTGGAGAAGGGAATGGCAACCCACTGCAGTATTTTTGCCTGGAGAATTCCGTGGACAGAGGGGCCTGACAGGGTCGCAGAGAATCAGACGGGACTGAGTGGCTAACACGTGGACACTTAGATAGCTGATTAACAGTATTGTGATAGTTTCAGGTGGATAGCAAAGGGACTCAGCCATATATATACTTGGATCCATTCTTCCCTAAACTCCCCTTGGAATTTAATTCTAACTAATGAGTGGCCTTTGAAAGGTTAAAGGAGTGTGGTATGATCTAATTTATGTTTACAAAAGATCACTAGCTTCTGAGTGAAGAATGAATTTGAGGGAAGTAAGGGCAGACATGGGGAGTCTAGGAAGCAGGATTTTTTCATGATCCAGAAGGAAGGCATTGTGGACAATCTCAGGTTGGGGATCTTTTTTCCCTGTTAAATGTATACTTGGGTACTACTAATGTGTGGGAACACTATTAGGTTTTACATGTTGATTTTGTATTCAGCAACCTTGCTGCTCTGTCTTATTAAGACCCAAAGTTTGTCTGAAAATCATGATGGGTTTTTTTTATGTTCTCAGTTTTGCAAATGAGAATATTTCTTTTAAGTCTATATTTTAAAAATTTCTTGGAATTCCCTGGCTGTCTAATGGTTAGGATTCCACATTTCCACTGCTGAGCGTGTGGGTTCAAGGGTCAGGGAACTAAGATCCCACACGCTGCATGGCACAGCCAAATAAATAAATAAATAGATAAAAGTAAAATCTCTTTTTCTTGTAATAGTGCATCAACTAGGACTTCTGGCTCACTGTTGAGTGTAGTACTCTTGTGTCACTCCTGATATTAGTGAATATCTTCTAGGTCCCACTTAGAAGTATGATGATGTTGGCTGCAGATTTTGATGGGAACTGTTTATTAGTTAAGGAAATTCCCTTCTATTTCTAGTTGGCTAAGAGTTTTTATTTTTCAATAAAAAAATGAGAGTGGAATTTTATTGAGTACTTTTCTAGAATCTACTGAGATATGATCCTAGATTTTCTTCTTTCATCTGTAACGTGTTGAATTATATTGATTTATTTTCCATGTTGACCCATTCCTTTATTCCTGGGTTAAACCTCGATGAATCCCATTATGAGTTTGGATTAAGTTTGGCTAATCAGGGCTAAACAGGGCCGAGTCACTCCAGTGTTCTTGGGCTTCCTTTGTGGCTCAGCTGGTAAAGAATCTGCCTGCAATGCGGGAGACCTGCGTTTGATCCCTGGGTTGGGAAGATCCCTTGGAGAAGGGAAAGGCCACCCACTCTAGTATTCTGGCCTGGAGGATTCCATGGACTGTATAGTCCAAGGGGGAGCAAAGAGTCAGACACGACTGAGTGACTTTCACTTTCAGCAGACAGGGACTCAGTAGTGTGTTCAATATATTTCTCTCTGACTAAAGCTGCAGGAAGATGCAGGTTCCATCTCTGGGTTGGAGAGATGCCCTGGAGAAGGGCATGGCAACCCACTCCAGTATTCTTGCCTGGAGAATCCCATGGATCGATGAGTCTGGCGGGCTACAGCCCATGGGGTCACAAAGAGTTGGACATGACTGAAGCGACTTAGCATGCACACAAACAAATAAAAAGCCTGGATGTAGAAGTTCAGTGTCAGGACCCCAGACTCCTCTTATCTTGCTGGTCTTCCACCCTTTGTATAGCACTCATATCCAAGAAGCTGATGATTAAACCCTAGCTATCCTGTCTGCATTCTGAGCAGTACCAAGGAGAATTCCTTGGAGAGGAGGAGGATGCAGTCCCTCCTTTTTAAAAGACTTCCTAAAAGTTACACACAGCACTTTCACATATCACATTGGCTAAAGCTCCATCCCATGGTGGCATCTGGCTGCAAGGGGGGCTGTGGAATAGTCTTTTATTGGGAAGCAAAGTGCAATGAGCAGAGCTGAAAATTAGGGTTCTTATTGCTGCAGACAAAGAGAAAAATGAGTATATGAAACTCTAACAGTTTTGTCAGTCTTGTGGTATTGTTTTCATAGACATTGCTGGATTTTTGAATAGCTGTTACTTTATGTAAGATTTTTATATTTATGTTCATAAATGATATTGGCCCACAATTTTGTTTTGATTGTTGTTATTTAGCTCATGCATTAAGCTTATGCTCAGCTCTGAAAATGAGCTTGGTAGTGTTCTCTGTGTTTCTGTTCTTTGAAACAGTTTGTGTAAAGTAAGGGTTATCTCATCCTTAAAGTTTCGGTAAAGGCTACCTATAAAGCTATCTGGGCCTGATGCCTTTCTGGGATAGGAGAAACTTCAAACTGCAGCTTCTGTTTCTTTTAGCGGTAATTGACTATTCTGGTTTTATTTTTCTTCTTGAGTCAATTTTGGTGACTCATGTATTTCTAAAAAATGGGCCATTTAACAAAAATTGACAGTTTTCAAAATTTTTGGTATAAATATTCTTTCTGATAGTATTATAATTTTATAAAGTGTTAACATATTTACAAGCTGTGCCTCGTTATTATTCCTAATACCACATATTTATACCCTACCTCTCTTTCTTGACTCATTTTGCCCAAGGTTTGTATATTTTATTATTTTAATATATTTAAAA